AGAGGCAGCAGCATGGGGTACCAGGCGGGAGCTGGTCCACAAAGGGAGCCAGTTTAAACCCCAGCTCCCCTCGAATTAGCTGCCTGTCACCTCATGAGCCCCTGTTTCGGGCGAAAGAAGGGAGACGACTGAGTTCCCAGACCCAGCACGAGTCTGCCCACCTGGCTCCTAATACACTTTAAAAAAATGCAGAGCCACAGCAGAGGTAGGTCCCAGACCCGGCATGAGCCAGGACTGAGATGGATAGCTGGCCAGTCATCTTAAAAAAACAAAACAAAACAAAAAAACAAAACAAAAAGTACTGGTGGGGGGAGAGGGAGAGAGGACGAGGGGGGAATGGTGGTTAATGCTATAGAATACACAATATGCAAAAGCTTATAGGTTAATCAACTATACGATTACATTGCTACAATGAAATCTGGTCTCTGCATATGAAATTTAGGTTTTGAGTGCGCTTTTATCCTTTACTACACATTTTACCAGAGAGGCCAGTATTTCTCAAATTGGGAGTCCTGACCCAACAGATAGTTACAGAGGGAGGGAGGGTATGCATGGATATCTTAGGGGGTGCAGTACTGTGACCTTTACTTCTGTGCTGCCTTTAGAGCTGGGCGGCCAAAGAGTGATGGCTGTAAGCGAGGCACCCAGATCTGAAGGCAGCACCCCAACAGTAGCAGTACAGGAGTAAGGATGGCAATACCATTCCATGCCATCCTTAGTTCTGCACTACTGCTGGCAGCAGCTCTGCCTTCAGAGCTGGGCTCCCAACCAGCAGCCCCCACTATTCTGCTGCCCACCTCTGAAGGCAGCACCACTCCCAACAGCAACATAGAAGTAAGGGTAGCAGTACCCCAACTCCTGCACTATAACTCTGTACACTTCCCCTGTATCTTCTTTGAGTCAAGAGTGCTACAATTACAACACCATGAAATTTTAGCTTTAAATAGACAAAGTGATTCTATTTGTAGTTTAAAATCCTACGACTGTGAAATTGACTAAAATGGACTGTGAATTTGGAAGGGCCCTATTAGTGGTACATCACAAATAAAGTCTTAACCAGGAGTGGCCAAGACCCCGCCCACAGGTCACCAAGCTTTTTAATCTGGTACAAAGCCCACTCTGCCAGGACCCTCAGGCATGGAGCAGTTCCACATCACTCAAAGCAGCTGGCTGCTACTATGCTCTGTGCCATGCACTAGGGAGGAGGAAGCTGGCCAATGGAAGCTGAGAGATTGTGTGAAGGGCATGTAGCACACAGACCAAATGGAATCGCCAGCTGCTTTTGAGCAGTTGTGGGCTGGGGGCAAGTAGAGAGCCTTTCTGAGTCCGCTGACCTGCCTAGGTAAGTGCCTCTTGGCCAGACCCCACCTCTGACATCCCACTCCCTGCTGTACCACAACTCCCTGCTACAAGTCACCATCCAAACCTACCCCTACCTTGGTCACAACTCCCTCCTAAACCATGCCCCCCCTCCTTAGTCCCTCCCCCTGCCAGAATCCTCTCCTGTACACATACCCTTTCCTGGACCCTGCACCCCAGTCCCCTGCCACAGGCCACAACGCTCAGACCCCACATCCTCTCCTGTACTCATGTCTCCTATCCCAAGTTCCCTTCTGTACCCAACCTCTGTACCTCCTCCATAGAAAAGTACTGCCCTTGACCACTTACCCAAAATCTTGGAGTGCCTGCCCCCATCAAAAAATTACTGTCCACACTTTCGTATTTGCAAATCAATTAAGAAAATACTATAGTTCAAGCTCTGACCTCACTGATAATTCCCAGTAATTCTCCAGGGTAAATGAAAGTTTCTTTTAAGTAGCCGCTATCTCCCCAGTTGTGATTTTAAGTGTACTAAAAGGATAAAATCTCTAGTGTTTTTCTATTTTGAATACTGGGTCTGAATAAGCCACAGTTCTGTTGTTATTGCTAAATTCAGCTCAAAACAAATG